CTCCCTGCCCCTCCCCCCAGAGAATCGCCAGCTGTTCTAGACAGCTGGCTGTTCCCTCTAGGCACAGGTGACCCAGGAGGACACTTTGCACACTCCCCTCACCTTCAGGTCAATCAGGGCCTGGAGGCAGGAGAGCATGCGAAGTCTCTCGCTCCCTGCCCTGCAAAGGGCACGAGGCACTTAGTGAACCACCAGCTGTTCAGCTGGAAGTTCTCTCTATAGGTTGCGTGCGCCTGGCCAGGAGGGGCAGACTTTGCTCACTCCTCCATTCCCAGGCCATTCCTGGGGTGGGCTCTCTTGCCCACCCCTGCTGTCATTCTACCTTCTTGCAGTGTTAAAATATCTGGAGGCACAGAATAGCTCAGAGCGGCAGAAAGTTAATAGCAGAACTAGGGCTAGATCCTGCCTTTCCCAGGCTGGTACCTCATTCTGTGGAGCGGTGTTTCTCATCCAGCGGTGGCTGGATCCCTAGATGATTACGTGTTCTGTTCACTCCCTCAGGGACACCTGGCATTGGCCACTGTCGGCAGACAGGACACTGGGCAAGATGGACCTTTGGTCTGACCCAGTGTGGACGTTCTTATGTAAATGATATACATTTCCCAGGCATATTTATAGCTGGTGCACGCAAACTGAGCATAGCTGTGTCATTGGTACAGCAAGGAGTGCCAAGCATAAGAGAGCTGAAAAAATATTTAAACCTTTCATTTTCAGAAAAGCACAAGAAATAATTAGTGTAGATAAACCAGATAATCCTTAGCACTGGTGTCCAACATAGATTTCAGACTGCTTTACACAGGTGGGTAAAGAAAACTGACAAGTGGAGGAACTGAGTGTATCGCTTCGCTGCAAATGAAAGTGTGGTTGTAGCACGGGTAGGCATATCCACACCAGCTAGTGGGGACATAGTAGCCTGGGCTAGCAACCAGAGTACAAATCTGCCGGGGGGAGCCTGAGTGAGTACTCTGATTGCTAGATCATGCTGAGGCCCGTACCGCCAGAGTACATCTGCGCTAGAGCTCTGGTGTAATTTCCAGCTCAGGGAGATGTACGTGAGGTAGGTTTGATTGAGTGTGTGCGCTAAAAATAGTAGTGTAGCTGTGGTGGCATCGGTAGCAGGATGCGTTAGCCCCCTGAGTGCATGCCTACAGTCTGATTGGTCTCAGAAGCTACCTTGCTGTTTTTAGCAGCCTGTGTTGTGAGTGTACATCTACCGAGCAGGAAACTCTGCCTCCAGCTCCCTTGCAGATGTACCCACGCTATAATACAGGGGTGGACAAGGCTGCCTCAGAAGGGGCAGGGACTTGGGCAGAAGGGGTGGGATCAGGACACTTCCAGCCCCCCCCCCCAGAGAATCCC